TCAACAGGCAGGTCTAGGCAGGAAGAAGAACCGATAAAGGCTCTAGACTGCTCGTACGGGTTTATGCGTCATTGGTTCGGTCGATAAATCACTGTTCTCTAATTGGCGGTATCATTACATTATATATTAATAGGGCAAAAGGTCACAAGTTATAACAGTAACGGTTGATCTTCACATAAGTTAAAACAACTAAATTTATCATACTGACTACATGTTTTAAAAAAATGATTATATATATGATCAGGTTAGTTTATAAGTAAATTGGTTTACAATTAAATCATTTGCTTCACATTTATTCTATATAGTTTACAATAAACAAAACGTTTCTAGCAAGAATTCTTAGAATCCTTTTATCTGTTATGCATCTAGTATGAAATGTATTTCCAACTAAATCAATAAAACTTTATAGATCAGCATTCAAATTTATAATTTTGCTCTTTACCCATGTACATTCAGTTTTCAATCAATTGGTGATAGGACAAACTGACTAATGAAATCAACAGTTAATACTTAATTTATAGTTAGTTAATTCACATTATTCCAGTTTCTACAAGTATCTTATGAAAAAAAGAAACTAAAAATATACATGAAATGATTTTGTGGTGAGACTGTAATTTATGGACGTACCAATCAGATATAAGATAGCAAGTATTAAATTTTGGCGCGAAATTTATCCATCCATTTGGTTAAAGAGCATTTTACTATTTTAGTTTATGTCAGTTAGCTATGAACACCCTAAATTTAATTCCTAACACTAACCATCAACTGTGAATCATAATTCTTATTATTCACACAGGTTTATTACTCTTATTTAGCCCTGGTAACTAGGTAGATATTCTCTAGGTCACTTCAGTGTCACTCAAAGGTCGTCCATAAGTTATGGTTTCATCGATTTTGCTTAAAATAATTTGAGCACATAATAATGAAAAAAGAGGAGGGATCAAACAATTTTATTGGAGTTGTGTCCAGTGAAACCATAAATTATGGACGACCTTTGAGTGACGCTAAGATGGCCTTGAGAATGTTTACCTAGTTACCAGGGCTAAATAAGAGTAATAAACCTGTGTGAATAATAAGAATTATGATTCACAGTTGATGGTTAGTGTTAGGAATTAAATTTAGGGTGTTCATAGCTAACTGACATAAACTAAAATAGTAAAATGCTCTTTAACCAAATGGATGGATAAATTTCGCACAAAAATCCAAGACGTGATATCATATGTGTGATTGGTTCGTCCATAAATTATAGTCTCTCCGTTGTATTCTCTAAGCTTTTAAAAGTATACAGTCTCATTATAATCATTCTTTTTAGTTATAAATCATCTTTATGATCTTAGTATTAAATGATAAAATGAGAAAAAGTGGATCTTCATTATTCATTAAGATGACAAAAAAATCATTTCAGTAATATTTTTTATCAAAGCTTTTACCAATAATTTACGATAATCAATTTCATTTGCTTATCTGGGAATCAATAACTATTTGATAGATAACTCACTTTAATTATTCATAAGTAATATCATTAAATCTACATATTTATAATATTATAATAATTCTAATAGTTGAGATCGTGAGTCAATTGAAGCTAGATCATCATGGAAAACCTGAAAGTATTGGACAGTCGTTTCATCCTATTGTAGAACTCCTCAGCAGTGCGAATCCACGAGTCTGCCTAGCGAGATTTTTTAAATTTCTATTTATCTTATACAGTAGATTAAGTCAATATTTTTATTGAACATGTTCATTTCACAAATATATTTTAAGTATCTGTAAGTACCTGTAAAATTATTATCCATGACAACAAGATTAATCAGAATGGCATTAATATAAATCAACGTAGCTTTAAAAATATCTGTATTTATCTATCTAAAATTGTCTATGTTTATTAATTATTTTCATTAGTTATAATGAAAATAAAGAATAAACATGAGATTTACAGTTAATACTTAAAATTATAAGAAAGAGTCTTGTTATTCGAACCACCTATCTGTTTTCAAAAACAGTTTATTCCCATCTTAAACCTAACCTGGTAATATTAACTTACTAGCCAGAGTGATGAGATTTCAAATGGTTTTCACATTATTTCTTTATTATCCTTGTCTCCTCTTAATCTTCATTTCTAGTCTAGTTAACCTTTTATTCTTCAGATGTAAATGCTCTAAACAAGTATATTGTGTGTGATCAGATTGTTCGAAATGTATTGCGCTAATATATTACATAATTCTAATAAACGTCCTCTTCTTATTACACTATCGAAATCTATCAAAGGGACTAATTACTTTAAATCTTGTTATTGCTCGGAGTAATTCAATGACCTAAGAATAACAATTGGATTTTATTTATTTACTGTAAAATATTCTCATCTGATTATGATATAACTGCCCCCAAATGCCCTGGTATGGCCGAGAGTGAGGTGGGTTCGCCCTCCCTCTCGAAATACTCTCACATGGCCACGCGTATATAGCCTCTGACAGGGAAGTCCTACTCACTGCCTTCACGTGGCGGGGGTGTTGTTTACGAAAATGAGAGGACGAAAAGCGAATGTTCGGCGATTTAACCGGATCCCGAACCAATGGTGCACATGGGCTCCAGTATCCTGCGGGAACAAATGGCGTATGAACCAATCGTTGGTCACCGGTTACCATGGGACTGCATCTTCTTACGATGCTCCACTGCCTTGTGGGTCAGACGTTCAGGTCAAAGGCTCGGGGTGTGGCCCCCTAAGAAAACCACCTGCTTAGGTTTGGGCACCCGGACAGTATCACAGCCCACACACAAATCAATTGAGATTCGTGTGGCGCATATATACTTGGTGCCTCCTTGTACCAATACCTATGTGTTAAAATAAATAAATAAATAATGATATAACTATTTACTTTGGAAAAGAAAGTATTCGAAATTTGTAAAAGTTAAAATAAACCATCGATATAAATCGGTAATGGGTTATCAATTTTCTTTCTTTCTTTTTTAAGGATCAAACACGCATTCTCCATTCATAAGATTTGATAAACGTCCTTAAATGATGTGAACTTTTTGAACTAACTAAAAACTTTCGTTTGATATTTTAATCTAATGATAATTAGGTCAGAAGATTTATTAAGACAAATTATACTGATATTAATTATCAACATTGGAAACTAGGGCAGATGTTTTATCCTTGATAAGTTTCAAACTATGGAGAAACTATTGTGATGTAACCATATTACCTAATATAGTCGTTAATTTATTAAGTCCATTCACAATAAGTCTGGCTACGTCAATAAAATCTGATCACATTGACTCAACATGTTGTGCCCAATAAGTATAATGATAGCCCTTTTTAGTTTATTCACACCAGTCAGTCCATCATAACAGAACATTAGAAAATCCAGTTGAATTAATTGGTGATGAGATTTGTAGCTCAGGTGGATGATTTTGATGGATTTTTGTTCTCTGAGCTGAATGGTTTTGTCGTGGAGCTTTGATCGTTCTTCTGAACGATGTCATCAGCACAAACTTCAGATAGAAGTAAAGTGTTCGAATTTCTTCGCATGTGGTTCACAGCTTGTCATGTAGACCTTGATGTTGGCCTAATGAGAAGCCGTGATCAGCGGAGTTCAACCGGGTCTGTTGTGAAATAATAATTCACTGAAGACAACAGTGGAAGATGGCGCAATTTCGTGGATTAGTTGAAGTTAGATATTAATGCCGTTGGATGACGGCTCAGTGGTCTAAATGTTAAGTGTTCACGCGCGAGAGTGATAGGTCCTGGGTTCGAATCTCACGGGGCGGGATCGTGGATGAGTACAGCTGAGTGCCATACTAGGATGAAACGGCCGTCTAGTGCTACCAGGTTTTTCATGGTGATCTATCTTCAATTGACTCATGAATTCAATGGTTAGATTACTACAATCTCCACAAAACCCTTCTCTGATTTAACCGATTATAAAATTTTTTTAAATTTTCAATACCTCTATAATTGAAGTCAGCCTGTAATAAAAATCAGTTTCTTTGTAATACTTATCATAAGTATACTATGTAACTTTATTAGAAAAAATTCCAAAGCCTATACTGTTAGCCTAGATCTATTTCATTACATTTAATCACACTACAGTATTTTGTAGATATCAATGTTAGGGTTAAACTTGGTAGTTTCAAATAAATAAAGCATTTGGTTGAAAGTTAATCATAAATATATTCATTATTATATTTCAATGAGTATAAAAATTGGATTTTTGATGTTTTGTAACTTAGCGAAGGTCACTTCTTCGGAGAAGAACTCATAGTTTATCTTCATTCAGCAAAACATGATAATGAAGCTTAAAGAATTGCCAGGTGTAAGTGGTGATAGGATGCAGGGAATTTTTAACATCACTGATTTTACACTTTGTTGGAATTTTTAGGTTCAGGTATTTCTACCCCAATTCGGTTCCAAATAAAGTATTGAACATTCATTACACCCAAGTTTCAGATTCATAAGCAGAGCGTAACAACAGCTTCAACAAGATCGAATAAAATATCTTGGTGGAAAAAGGTAAATGGTTTGAATATAGAGTTTTCAAGATTAAAGTGAGAAACCATAATCAGTGTTTTCAGCAAAGCTAGACGCTAAGACATTTGTCCAATTATGAAAGCAAATGAATAAAAATTGAATTCAACTTTCTGAACTGATAAATGAATATTCACTAGCTGAACCATACATCATTTATTGTGAAACTTAAAATATAAAACACTCATTTTGAATTTGGTAGTTGTTGAACACTGCTGATGAGTCCCAACCTATGAAGAAACGGCTGAAGAAGTGACCTACATTAAGTCACAAAACGCTGGAAATACAATTATTTACCACACTATTACATATATTAATATATCCATATTGACAACGGGTTTATAATTGAATTTCCAACAGCTAGAAAACACTGATAATCTATTAAATTATTATTTAGAAATTATATCGGAAACTTTGATAGTTAAATATAATTCTACCACTTACTATTATTATTATTATTATTATTATCAAGACTGCAATTAAAATGAATCGTTTATACAAAGAATCAAGAAAATTAGCCAGACGAAGTCGAAATGAAAAGAAGCAAAGTTTGAAGTTTTATCGAAAACATTCTAGTAAATTTAAAAATAAACTTAACTCAATAAGAGGAACAGAAGAGGAAGAAAATGAAGAACCACCACCACCACCACCTCAACAACAACAACAGGACCTAGAACAAACACTGAGGGATGAAGTATTACATAATCTAAATAATGAAACGATTACATTAGAAACAAAACTAACAAACCAGTCATCAGTATTATCCCCTTTTCTGCCAGTTATTTATCCAAACGAAGTTGTATCATTAACATCTAAACGGAATACTTCAGAAAGTATTTTAAATGAGTCGGAATTTAATCAAGGCCATATCAATACTGAATTGATTAAAGTAAGTTCATCATATTATGCATTAAATTTATTAAAATAAAATTAGCTGCATTTATTGATTTTGTGAAACATGACAACTAGCAGGAGGTAAGTATTTACTGTGAGAATTTGCCAAGTATTTATATAAAGTTTAATACATAACCTCTAATCATCCATTTGTATCTTTCGATGTGCTCTGCCATCTGAACTGTCTTCTCGTTCAGTCTCCAAGTGTTCTGCCAACGCCGTGCTTTCAATGCACTGGAACTCGTCATTCTGTCTGACAATTATAACAAATTCGATGTCACGTTCTACTACATATTACTTACAAAAAATCTTCTGACTAGCGTCCATTACACTTTTTGTATATAGGATAAATGGAGTAAGAATTTTTTGTCATTATCCTCATTATAATGATTGTTGACAAGAGATTTTGAAATTTGTTCTCTTTTGTTTTATTGCTACAAGGATTGAAAGCTATTTTTATAAGTTTGAAAAGAATAAAAATATGGGGGTTTTGTGGAAACAGTTGAATTTTCATTTTTTTTTTCACGGACTGATTTTAGAATAATAAGTCATAGAAAACTAGAAAACATCAAGCAGCTTTTTCATCTTAATATGAAACTACTTAACAGTACACATCAGCGGTCCACTATGATCAGTGGAGTTTAATCATATCGAGTATGAGGCCTTAGAAGATAGTTGTACAATTTAGCGAATTGATTGATGCTAGTAATATTTTCTACTGGCTGCTAACTCAGTAGTCAAGAGGTTACGTACTTACTGTGGTATTGAAAGGTTGTGTGTTTGATTATCGATGGAGTTGTGGAGGTACAGTGGTACGGAATAGTATGCTACGACAAAATAACTCTCCAGTGCTTCTTAGTTTTTAATGGTTATCTAACTGAGATAAGTTCATTATATTAATTGTAAAATAACAAGTGACTTATATATCATGGAAAAAAACTATTTCATAGAGTTTAAAATATCATTCGTAACTGTTTACCAGTCAATAACAAATATCATTTCAAGTTTTTCTAAAATTTCAGTTCATAGTATATTCTACTATAATTCAGAAGAGAATTTAAAATGAATAACTTTTTCAAGTCTTTATTTTAATATAAAAGTTGGTCTGGCTTCAATTGACTCACGATCTCAACCATTAAATTTACGATAATATCCTCAAAACCTTTCTGATAGTAATCGACATATACTAACTAGTGACTGGCTTCAAGAGGTATTACCCGGACTTCTAGTGAGAATCAGTGACCAGTGGAGTTCAACCATATCTGTTGTGAGATAGTAACTCACAGAAGACGTTGATGGATGTGTCGCTCAATTTCATGGATTGGTTGAAGTTAGACATAAACACCGTTGGGTGCCAACCAGCTCAGTAGTCTAGTGGTTAAGCGCTCGCTCGCGAGACTGATATGTCCTGGGTTTGAATTTCGCGAGGCGAGGTCGTGGATTCGTACTGCGTAGGAGTCCCACAATAAGACAAAATGGCCGTTCAGTACTATCAGATTTTTCATAGTAGTCTAGCTTCAATTGACTCATGATCTCAACCAGTAAAAATAAGTAAAAATATTTTACGCATTCCATGAATGGATTCATTTATAACATAATAATAAGATGGTGTGCATTAATTTAAATATGCGTCGAATAAATTAATTTGCTAATTCCTGTATACAATTAAATTGTAAAAAAGAAAATCAATTAACTAGATAATGTAACATGTAATTTGATCCTTTTCTCTAACTAGATTATAGTCAATTAGTTTTTTCTTTAAAAAATATTGCAAACTACATTGTTTAGGATGTTTTCAATATATATATATATATATATCATAACTTCACTTGATAATTGTATACTACCAATAATAGTAAGTAATTGAATTACCTTTGTAACCAGTTTTAAAACCATTTTACAGTTTTAGCGTTTTCTTTTCTATCAACAAAAAAATATATATGTTCTTTAGAAGTTGAAAATAAATGTTTGTTTGTTTTTTTGTTAATATGAAATAAACATTTCATTTAAATCAGTGTAATTATCATATAGAATGTATTACAAATCTTAATAATATGAAAATAGATTAAAGAGAATGTTTCAACAGTTGAGACCATGGAAAACCTGGAAGCATTGGACGACCATTTTGTCCCATCGCGGGACTCCTCTGAAATGCGCATAAACTACCCCGCCTCGCGGGATTCTAACACAGGACCTATTAGAAAGATCTAAAGTGATCTATTGAAAATATAGTTTTCATGAATGAATTTGTGATATATAATGGTAAAAGTAACATATGATTAGTTACTGAGTGTAGACAAACGGCCACAGACTATGGACTATTAAAGATGTGATTTCTTATTCTCTTATTGATTTCTACCCTGTACTCACTGAAAGTAATTGTTGGTAATTGGGTAGAATAAAATATTATCTAGTCTATACTCTAGTTCTATATTCTGGATTGTGAATCCTGGTTCTAATATATCGTATTAACATATTATCGAAGTATACATAGATTGAGAAAACTAATTTAAACCACCCATTATATCAATTCGTTATTATTGTCACCTCTAATAGTTATTTGAAATCAATGTACTACTTAATGATTAAAATTCTCTATGTAATATAATGACTGATTTCTTGGTTTCTGGAAAATTTGTATTTAAAGATTTCAAACAAGATCTCTCAAAAATTGAATAATTCAAAGTATTGCTGGAATTTTTAAATAATTTAACGAAAATTAAATTAAACATTTTTCGTAACTGATTATCAGTATGACGCCAGATGACAGTACAATTATCCGGTTAATGTCTATTATAATTATAATCAGTTGGGATATTTTTGATAAACACGTCCGGTATTTCTTCACCTAGACGAATTTCGTAGCTGTTTCATCTTTAGATAGAGACAGATTCTGTGTTAAGCCGAATTGCATAGAAATACCCGTGATTTTTAAATTTAATATGGTAATTAGAATCAGGACTTAGTGTTATGTCGCCCAGACAAGGGTGCAGAAATTTTTCTTATGGATCGCCTTTAATATGGTAATTTTGATTGAGGACGCCAATCAAACTTGAGGTCTATCAATCAAATAATATTCATTATTGAATCCACATTCACGGTAGTTAGTGTTCATTCGTCAAGAGTTAATCAAAAGTCAGTCATCAACCAAAGAGAAGCTATGTGATGGTCGAACACCTATTAACATTTTTAAATCCTATTTTACTAAACCCACTAGTTCTCGCGTATTATAGGCTTTCTGAAATTTACGTTGATGGTAGACCTATATAGTAATTGATTCAACAATTTTCTCCGGTAAGTTCAATTGAAATTCTGTTAAGCGTCTTAGTGCCCGAGTAAATACTTTCATCAGTTCTAATTTCTTTGCAGTTTTCGCGAGTTGTGTAACATGTTCTGTTTTGTACTCTCACCTAAAATCGCTCAAGGTCATCCGAAGATCAAATGTGTTTAACCTAATAAAACAAAAACTTCCACTCCGTAATTTCTTTCATTCTAATCGTGTTTTTTTAATATTTTCATTATCACTTCCATTTTAAGCCAAATATTTCATCATGGCTTGAAACAATAAATGAAGGGAAAGACAATCCTAATGATCAAGAATCACTGAAACCTTCAAAGCTCGACACTGCACGCTCTATACAACATCCTTTACAAAAGAAATATTCAGTTTGTGAAAATAATCAGACTCGTCAAAGTCTCGCTTATTCAATTATCAGACATAGAGAAAACCAGATGCGTAATCTAAAAGCAGCATTAAGTGAAGCACCAATAGCGTACATTTGGAAAGATAATTTAAATAAGAGCACAACAAGATTGAAAACAAAATTCATTTGTTCAAAATATAAAGATATCAATTTACAAGCAAAACGTTGTATTCCTGGTTCTATTGGCGGTTTGTCAAATTATTTCCTAGAAATTATCGCTTTACCTAAACCTGCATTGATTCGTTTCCCTCCGCCGAGTAGTATGCATCAATATATGCATAAAAAAATATTAGCTAAAGAGAAACAGCAAATGCAACAAAATTTGGATAGATTAAGTCATTTAACTGAAGAAATGAAAAGAGTTTCAGGTAAAGTATGCCTCTTCGTATATCGTTACTGTCATTTTAATTACTGGTAATTTCGTTCAATCTTCGCCCGAATTCCGTTTTAATTAACTGGTACAAGTAATAAGTCTGTATATATTCATCACCTGAACATCATTTATTATTTCATTGAAATCACGAACATAAGTTGGATAACCATTGAGCATATGGAAGCACTGAATGGCTGTTTCGCTCTAGTATAGAACTCTTCAGCAGTGTGCATCCACGTCCTCGCATCTGGTAATCGAACGTAGGACACTCAGTCTTGTACTCAAACGTTTAAAATCTAGGCCACTGAGTCGTCATCCAACGATATTAACATTTGAACATAACTCAATCGGCAGTTGCTATCAATAAATAGACATTATATATTTTTTCATGTTTATTCCATAATGACCAAACTTTCGAACTGAATTAGATAATAATTAACAGTAAAGTCCGCGTTACGTCCTATTTGTGACTCGTTCCAGTGTGAACATTCGCATCGGAGTGTAGTTATATCCGAAATGCTGACCGTCATCAGAGTAAAGTCTCGGTTACAGGATTAATATTATTTTACAAATATTTAAGACGACATAGATTTTATTTATAAACTTGACAGTTTGAAATATCAGTGTTAAGTTTTGCGTATAATTGATATCAAATCAAATAATATACACCGATCAAATACAATGATCTAGTTGAAAATTGGTAATCGTTATTAATAATACAAGAATAACGAGGAGCTATTATTACTATGGTGTGTTATGAATGTACAGTTTCATGTAGAGTATTCACGATATTTATCAATTGTACAACAATGATGAATTTGCAGGAAAATCACTCACAAAACCTATCAGTATTTATTTATTCATCATTGTGATTTTAGAAATTCTTGTCTTACAAGTCAACATCATGCGGGAAACTGAAGTTAATGTAAAAGCTATTTTTATCCTACATCTTATGGTTTTTATTTATTTATGAACTGTGTTGAAAAAGTAATGAGGACTGTCAGTCGTTTACATGATGAGTACAGATTCTGGAAACGTAGCTTCCTTCCGATTAACTTTTTAACTTTAAATATCTGAACTGTAATTTCAAATTATAGTTTTTTAGACTAGATTTACAAACTGGTTAATAAATTTTATCCGTACAAAGAATTAGGCGATATGATATTAATACTACTTAATAAAGAATTAATTTGAAATCAGTAGTTTTGACATTTTATTGCCCAGAACAAGATTTAAAAGTCCAGAATTTCCAGAATAAAAATGAACCCAAATTTCCCATCTAATAAACCTTCTATTTTGATGTTTAATGTTCACAAGAGTTTTAAAAAAACAAATAAATGATTATGTAGTGAACAAGAATACAATTGAGGACAATCGAATGTATTTGAATATAAAATTACAGAACGTCATAATAAAATCTGAGAACCATACAATAAATATTTCATTTGCAAAATGTTAATCAATTGTCTCGGATTTCATTGTTCTTTCATCCCCATACCAATCACTCTTTGTTCTCGTTCATTTTCTTCATTCTTCTTCACCTTCTTCCACCAGACATTTCACTTTTGATAGATGATACATACTACTTATATCTGTCAACATCAGTAGTATACATTCCACAATTGGTATATATATGATAAAAAGGATGCTTAAAAACTGTAAGATGAAACGGAATCAAAATTCAATTAAATTTTTTTGGAATTTAAAATTGATTTTAATTGAAAATACTTGAAACAAAATAACAATATGTGAATTATTATTTCTTTTATTGATTAATAAGCCGGCTAAATTAAATACCTAGATAAATTCAATTATATTTTTTCCTGCTAACAGATAAAATATCAAACAACTCATATTAAATTAACATAGTTAATTTCACTAGTTGAAATCATGAGTCAATTGAAGCTAAACCACCATGGAAAATTTGGGAGCCCTGGGCGGCCTTTTCGTCTTAGTACGAGACTCTTCAGCAGTGCGCATACACGATCCCACCCCTCGCGAGATTCAAAGCACGCAAGCGCTTAACCATTAGATCACTGAGCTAGTCAGCATCCAACGATGTTAATGTCCAATTTTAACCAATCCAATCAACATAGTTAATGAATTCAAAACAAAATGCTATATATGTATACATATAAATTGAAAATAATTCAAATTTAATGAGGCATTTTCAGTTGATGTAATATTTACTGATTAATACAATATTCTTATTAGATAGAATAATTAATCAAATTGAATATAAAGATGAAACATTTTGTCACACTGTATTATTTCTTCATTTTACATTATAGAAGGTCAAAAATTGATGGCTGCATTGAAATTCTTACTGGCTTCTACAAGCAATGAGAAAAATGAAAATATTAAATCTGAAGGAATAAGAAATTAACAAGGATTAGTGACCTTTTATTTTTGGAATAATAATTCCTGACGTATAGTTGTGTATGTACTTGAGTAATAACACATTTAAAAAAATGTTTTCTGGTGGTTTGTATCTTATATATCGTTTTGTTAAGGTGAACAATCCATTCTTTTCTCAATGTGCAGCATTCAAACACTGAATGAATGAAAAATTAGCGTTATTCATTGGACACAATACACGCATTGAACATACAAAATGTTGTGAATAACACCGATCGATTAGACAGTTAGAGATGCGAATAGTTCAACTATGAAATTTCTTTGTTTCTTTCTTACTATTGAAATTATATTAATAAAACAAACAGTAAAATGTTTATTTGGACGACAGAAATACGTAGATATAATGTACCAATGTATGAACCTACAGATGTTCACACGATTAATACAAGTACGATCACAAAATACAATGGGTGGTATTCAATCCGAGTAGATACATTTTATGAAATTCAAGTCTGAGATTGCATCCATTTAGGTATGTTTATTAGTTAGACTGGTGTGCTATGTTAGAATTTATTATTGGATTTTCTTCGAAATGTTTACATATAAAAACAGTATATTCTATAAATCTGTTAGATATATTACCTAAATGTAAACAAGCATTTCAGGACGGATTTCATCATTAACTGAAAATAAAACCCCTGTAAACTAAAGAAAAGTGAACTGTTGTCTCGTTCTAATTGGGGATTTCTTCAGCAGCGCACAGTCAGATACCTGCACTATATTACAGCTCATAGTCTATGAGTAGATTTCCATCATCATTTCGTTGAGTTAACTGATCTGATGCAATACCTTTCTAGGATACTGTTTCTGATTATCCGTTGTCAATCGTGATATATTTCTATTTCAGTAGTGTAAGGGAATTTTATATTTTCTGTACCCCTTAAAGGTAGTGGATTCGTGGATAGACACTACTGAGAAGTTCCACCTAAACTATGACAAATGATTAGTCTAGTATTTTCATGTTTTAAATCATTCCGTCCTATCATAAGTCAGTCAATGATGGAATTTTATCGTCAAAAGGATTAAATCTTCATAAACTACCGAATTTTTTTAAATATTTTAGTTTACACTCATATTTTTAAGTGGATAAAATAGAGGTATGTGGACTCTATTGGAAAGCAATTATATCGGCAACGGATGTATCAGACGTTCATATATAGGCACGTGATTTGTGCAGTTGTAAACGATTGGAACCAAAACAAATTCTCTACTCACAATTCAACCATTTATCCTGTTTACATATTCGATATGGGTCTGGGTCTCCAGTTACGGGGAAGAGTTGGTGGCAGTTTGTTGGAGTTACTGAAATAGCATTGTCTGTAATTCGTCAGTCCGTTGACAAAGAGTAAAAAATATCGTTTCGTAAACAAGCTTATTCATTATCTGATTGAACCTTTAGTCCAAGCAACACAATGGACGACCATTAGTCGAACAATTTTATTGCAACTCGGGTGACCAGTGCGGAACTGACACCGACTAAGGTGGAAAAATGTGCAACACGGTCTCCAGGTAACTACATATGAACCATACTGTATGAAATGACGAACAAATCCGTAGTACTCATACTCAATACATGTAACTCGGAACACCAGTAACAGGAGCTCATAGTGTCCCTCAGAACCTGCCTACTGTTTGTCTTGAATCTAGGTGAAAGTGTCAATTCTTTATGCAACAGTCAAGGAATGCACGAATGCCATGATACTGTCTAGGTAAGGCTAGGTGTGCATTCTTAAGGCAGACCTTTTCTAACCCCACCCCTCCTTGTGGGAAGGAAGCATCGCTGTCATGCTGGTTGTCTGAAGGAAACAGCTTAGTGCTGTCACGCCACTGTGCAGTCAGTAGTACGACTTCGAACCTTGGGCGGAATTACTCCTAATCTATGCACAACCACGACCCTGTCAGGGTACGGACGAAGGATCTTCAGGTCTTGTTGCAATCGTTTATTAAGATGGAACCCGAGACCTTAACAAGTGCGTTGCCTTTAGATCACTATCGATATTGATGGTCAATGGTCTAAATTTACGGATCCGGTCGATCCTCGAAATTGTAACAACCGTTTATTTAATATTTAACACTTGAATAAAAATTTAGAAAATAATGGTCAACATAGCTGAGCTATACCAGTCACAGCCTCTTACTAATATTTAAACAAATACCGTTTGAAATCGGTCAATAGTAAGAATAACTAGTATTTAGTGTTTTCGAAGAATGGGACAGAAAATGATCTGTAACAGCCAACGAAGAATCGACTCATAAAAAGTAAATTCTACTGTTAAATTGTCACTAGTTCATCAATAATTCACTTGTTGAAGAATGGGACGGGTAATTCTATCTTTAAAAGCTATCTTGTTTAAACAGTGAACAACACAATACTCACGATTAAAATGTGAGATTTTAATTATTCAATTTTTACAGGAACACAACAATTATACACACATTAGAAGAATCATCACTACTAATACTATTAATATCACATCAAATAGTATAAGCGATTGAAATCGAAACGAGTAAAATTACAAAAAACAAATGAAACAATGTATTATAGATGAGAGTACACTTCAGTTGTAGCTACTCAGGTGTTCTTCTTCATGACACACTTTCACTTTTGAAGTAAACAATACCCATAATCATAACATGTTAAATAAAAATTAAACAAATACAAAGAAAATATTACCACGCTACTAAGTACAATGATTTGAAAGCAAAACAAATACACAGCAACAAAAGGGAAGACAGTGATATTATTGTTATTTATGCATATGTATGCATTACAACAATTACAGAGGATTATAACACGGAAGTAAAGATTTGATGTTGTTGTTGTAAACAGAAAAAAATGTATAGCACTGTATAAAGAACATCAGTTCATAATTTACTGTAAATGATGGAGAGAACAGATATGTGGATTTTTGGTGGGGGGAAAGCGAAGGAATCAGAATAAATTACTAGATTTTAGGTTTTCATCAGAAGAAGGATTGTGTAATTTAGGAAAGGTAAACAGTCAATGCTTTTCTTAATAGTATAAATGATATCATTTACCCGATAGATGAGATCAATTAATTATAAATGGGAGAAATATACATGTACATAGTACAATAGATTACATTAAGTCATAAAATTCATGTTAAACAGAATGGATATCAATAGTGATTGTTGTATGTATGTATGTTAGATAGAGGCATAAAAACAGACAATGCTCATAGTGTTCCAGCCTAAAGGGAAGCACATTAAAGCATTACTATAATTAACAAAAAATTACTAGTGATATATATCGGTAATAAAATGAGATGTGACCGATAGACATATGATAAGTTAGAGAGTACGGAAGTGTCGTACGGTGTGATAAAATGTATATATGTATAAATAAAAGACTGAATGTGCATACGGAAGAAAAAGATAAAGACAATGTACACGATGAAATTCCCATCAGAGGAAAGAAAAAGTCAAGGAAAGGTTATGTAAACGTAGAGTGCAGAAAGATACTGCCTCACATGTTCATGGACAAACACGGTGAAAAAACCATATGTCGGAGTAAAAGTGTGCGGAAATACAAAATACAAACAGATAAACAAAAGAAATAACCTCACGTTTATCATCTCTTTTGCATATGGGAAAAACCTGTGTATTCTTCAGAATATATACATATATATTTATAGTAGTTTGGATGTCATAGTGTATGTCTGTGTGAAATGCATACAGACATTAACATTCATTAACAGTATAATGAGAATATTTTAACCGTCTGCTTTTGGGGGAGTGTACCAACCACTTTCTTCGTGAATCTGAACTAGACCACGATAGGAGAGTTGAGCTCGGCGAAGTGAATATTGATCCTATTAAAAAAGCAAAGACTTGGTTCGACTGTAAAATGAAGATACACTATTGTTATAGTGATTTTGAGATTTTAATTATAAACTGACAGTATCGAATTGTACAAGTGTTTGGATTTTCCACCCCTTGTGTAGAGATATACTTATATGTTGATCAGTAGTGGGATAGCGAATATATTTCTTTTTCTTAACGAACTCATCGCTTAATTGTATTAGGATTTGAGCATCCCTCCATGGAATGTCGAAACACAAGGAAATACGATATTTCGAGATATCCATCCGTGTCGAGCCTAAATGTTAAAGCAGATTGATCACTTTGATCTTACATTTCGCCTACCCTAACTTATTCTAATATATAACTGATATTGGTTTGAGTTTCAGGGAATAAATTAGTATTTAGAACAATCCTGGAGCAACACTTATAATTTAGATAGAAATAAACCTTTTGTGAACAATCTTATGATGTCCATTAACGATGGATAGAAGGCTTTATACCTTATCAACATCCTTAACAAACATAACTGTATCAATTGTAAGTCATAAGTCAATGACCACCAGGTAGGAGATTAGTTCCTGAAAGGTTAGATGAAAAAAATTGTTATTTTTAAGAGCCTTAATAAGATTGTTTTTTTCGGGATGCAATTCAATGATAAACACAGTGATATCTCCGTTGATTTAATCAATACATTTAGGGTCATACATAAAGACTCCTTGATTGTCCCAGATTTCTTTGTTTTTGAGCTCTAATCAAGCGCTCTGGATGATTATCAAAATCAGTATTTTATGAACAATATTTATCAAAACCTTTTTTCTGTGATTGTCGCAAAGGAATCTCTGACTTGCCTCATAAATCAGAGCAATTAGTGATCGCAAATAGTTTGACAGAATAACATCTACCATCCAAAAAATTGAAAATATCTTATGCAATCTGACCGTTAAAACTGAACCACCAACTTTGAAGACAATCTGAGTTAATTTATCAGGATTAAATATTTCTCCTCGCAAAAAGTAAATTATAGGATTTTTGAAGTATGAGTCACCACAACTTCAACTGCCCTGGTACGACCGAGGGTGAGGAGAGTTCGTTCTCTTCGAAATGCTCTCACATGACCACGCGTATATAGCCACTACCAGGGAA